GTCGAAGAGCGTCTTACGTCCCGCTCCCGCAAGTGCCCCAACTGCGGTAAATCCTTCGGAAGCAACGACCACATGCATATTACCCTCTGATCGACCTTCAAATATCCTGTATTATATCTTCCTTTCGATGGTTTCCTCTTTACGCCTATCTTTTTTAAGTTTGTCACATCCGGACAGGTTCATGGTGTGGTGTTTTTTTGTGTGTGGTTTAGCAGGTCTGGTTTGGGCCGGCGTTTGACGAGTTATGCACGCTTAGCCCTAACTCGGGGCATGTTTTATTATCTCCCTTTTCCTCTTTTTTTTCCCGTTACAAACCAAAGCAATGGTGGGTTTCTCAAGGCGCAGGGGCGTCGTTCTTCATCCTCTCTGGACGAGAGGCCGGCGCACGCTGATTTTCCTCAGGAGACTGAGCTATGCTAGATTTCTGTGTCATGTAGGACTACCGTGTACGGAGCAACCCAAAAGTACAATGCAACATGACGAATGCAATGTGAGGATTTTTCATACCCCCATGACTTTGATGTCTTTCCTTGTGAAGGTTCTTGATTCTTAAGTCTTAATTCTTAATGCTTAATACTCTCATGAGTTAAAGATCCGACTATACAACAATTCATGCCTCCCAACCCAAAGATCCAGCGCAGGAACAACCTGTCCAGCCTGCTCAACAGGCGTACTCCACTCCCGCGCGATGCGCTTCATCATCGTATCCTGCAGCGCCTGACTAGCCAACACATTCTGCGCCTGGTAGGGGCCCATGACACCTGCTCTGACAGCCGCACTGAGTACAGCTTTAGCATGATTCATGACAAAGACATACGCAGTCTGCTGTAAGTCTAGACCCATGGCCCGACAGACCACACCCCACAGCGGGGCAAAATGGCCCTTAGGGCCGAGATCCTCGTCCTCCTCGAGACAAGACTTCAACGCATCGGACAAATCATCAATCGCAGCGACGGCGGCTGCAGTTTCCGCCGAAGCAGGGTTCTCGGGCCCAGCAAAGCTGACTCTGAATGCGCGCTCCCAGACGCCGATGAGCGCGCGGCCTTGCGCAATACTTGCGCGCTGCGCGACGATGCACGGCGTTGATGCGTCCAGGTCGTTGTCTAGTGTGTCGAGGGTTGAGGGGTGTCTGTGCCCGGCTAGCACGTAGGGGAGGGAGGTGCTTGCGATTGAAGCGATAGAGAGTTTGAGGAAGCGGTGGAAGGAGGTTATTGGAGCTGTGCGGGAAGGTTTGTTGTGCGCTAGGTAGGACTCTAGTCCGCTAGAGTATGCGAAGGATCCTAGTGGGAGGGCGGAGTCTGAGAGGAGGAGGAGAGCGTGAAGAGATGTGCGGGTTGGGGTGGTGAGTTTGTTATTATTGGTATTATATTGTTCTAGGAATGGGTTAGCTAGAGGTATGCGACATTGGAGGTCATATATTTTGCCTACCTTTAACGGCCCATGAGGAGGGTGGGCTGGGGTATTCGGAGGCTGCTAGCTGGGCACGCGCATCTTGTAGTTGCGACTCAAGAAATGTGACCTCGGCTTCGAGCTCTTGGGTGTCTTTGAGGATCATAATGTAGTTATCGAATATGTGGTATAGAGATAATAATGTATGTAGTTTGTATAAAATATAGATTTTAATATGTGAAAACTAATGTAACATCTGCATCGGAGGATATCGAGGGCGGTCTTATAGAAAAGAAGCTCCGCCGATCGGCAAAAAAAAAGTGGGCGGATACCGCCGCACAACTCCGAGTGCTCCCTATCAGCTTGACTGTTTCACATTATTAACACCAGTCATACACCAGTCATTTAACTATTGCTATCTCGCTGATCTTTTTTTTTTTTACCCCTGTTTTCCCCGCGTCATGAACTAAAGTTATCTCCACAACCATGTCAGGCAAGCGTCTGCTCGACGCCATCCAATTCCTCAATGTGTCCAAGACGGTTGCAGCCAAGCACCTGGCCATCCGACAACGCCAGTTAGATGTGTATACGCGCACATCCTCCCTGACCAGGGGCATCAAGGCCCAAACAGAGGGCCTGATCCTGACCGCTCAAGCCGCCGCAGCATTGGCACGCCGATTTGACGAACCCTCGCCACCACCTTCGCCGAGCCCGGCAGACTTGCCCGACAAATCGACATCGGCCGATAAGCCGCCCGCCAGCACTGTAACGTCGCCACCCCCCGACCTCGCCCGCAAACTGCAACGTCAGGCCGAATCGCAGATCCCGGCTTCTTCGGCAATAGATAGCGGCGATGGCAAACCGAGCGCTCTAGATGTGAGCAAGCAGCAGGATGTCTTCTATGAACCATCGCTTCGGTCAGAGCCGGATCTCTCGAGCCTGCCGAGAGTGAAGGTACCCAAGGTCGCGGGCGATGCTCAAGTTGGTAGTGATGGGTTGAATTCTGATGTTTTCCACTCGTCTGTTGAAGCGAGCAAACCTGCTCCGGTCGAGCAGGAGATGTCCGAAGAGATGATCCAAGGTCTTTTCCACAGCCCGAGAGTATCGCGCATGATCTCTGGACACCCACCACCAAAAAGGGACTGGAAGCTAGCTGCGAAGCCTCGCAAGTCGGTCGCGGATGATGTTAAACCCGTCTCACCAGTGACTCCGAAATCCGAGACTCAGGAGATGGAGGAGCTTGCGGCCAGCGTCGCCGAAGACGTGGTGCCCAGTGACAGCACTGTCGGCGAGGTCAAGGAGCAAAAAGTGTATCAAATGCTGGAGTCGCGTGTGCCGTCCTCTCGACTGGGCAGATTGTGGCAGTACGGTGGTCTAGCGACCTCAATGGCTTTTGGCGCGGTCGGGGAAGGTTTCCGGCGAGCCACTGGTAGTCAAGACAATGGCTCGATTATGTTTAGTGCTGGTAACATGGAACGGATGGTAGCCAAGCTATCAAAAATGCGCGGCGCAGCTCTCAAGCTAGGACAGATGCTGAGCATCCAAGGTGCGTTGCATAGTCTAGCTCACTGTAATGCTCATGCTAATTTTTCTAGACTCCAACATGCTTCCCGAGCCAATCCAGCAAGTTCTCCAACGCGTGCAAGATCGCGCAGACTATATGCCCGCCTGGCAGCGTGACAAAGTCCTTACCGACAATCTCGGACCCAATTGGCGCGACCTCTACACCTCCTTCAACGAGATCCCTATGGCAGCAGCCTCAATCGGCCAAGTGCACTCAGCCGTCCTAAAAAGCACCGGCCAACCTGTCGCCGTAAAAATCCAATACCCAGGCGTGGCCGACTCCATCGACAGCGACCTAAACAACCTCTCCATTCTCCTAACAGCCTCCCGCCTCCTCCCAAAGGGTCTGTACCTTGACAAAACAATTGCGAATGCACGCACCGAACTAGCGTGGGAATGCGACTACATCCGCGAAGCCGAAGGCGCGAACCGCTTCCGCGAACTCCTAGCCAACGACCCAGTCTTCATCGTCCCGGAGATAATCGCCCACGCCTCAGGCAAACAGGTCCTCACAATGGAAATGCTCGACGGCGTAGCGGTAACCAAAGTAACCGACTTCACGCAAACCCAACGCGACTGGATCGGCACGCAAATAATGCGCCTCTGCCTCCGCGAGATCGCCGAATTCCACTACATGCAAACGGACCCGAACTGGACAAACTTCCTATACAACGCCTCAACGAACAAGCTCGAACTCCTCGACTTCGGGGCCTCCCGCGCCTACCCGGAAGAATTCATAACAACCTACGTGCGCACTCTAATCGCCGCCTCTCGCAACGACCGCCAAACCTGCCACAACCTCTCTATCGAGCTGGGATACCTGACAGGGATGGAGTCGCAGGCGATGGTTGACGCGCACGTGAGCTCGATCACGACGATCGCGGAACCGTTCATGCTTTCCTCGCCTGATCTGTATGACTTCAGTAACCAGACGATCACGGACCGTGTGCGCGCGCTGATTCCGGTTATGATTCGAGAACGGCTGGCGCCGCCGCCTGAGGAGACGTACTCGCTGCACCGGAAATTGAGTGGGGCTTTCTTGCTTTGTGCCCGACTTGGTAGCTCCGTGCCTTGTAAGGCTTTGTTTGTTGAGGCTGTTGAGGCGGCGCGGAAGAAGGGGTTGAAAATTGAGTAGATCGAGTAGAAGACTTGTGGATGTGGCTATGTACTATTATAGACTATGTAGACTATGTATACTGTATACTATATATTGAGGAAACGATGTTTGGATTCTTTTGGTTCTATATATCTGGCTGGTTTTACCCAGTAGGCGAAGTAGACTGACTCCAAATTCGGATCAAGGCTGGAATACCCAAACCAGTTGGGCATCAATTAAAATAGTGAGGCAAGCTCATCGGTAATTATTTCCCCAAGCAAATTGAGGTTGTGTTCATGTGTTTATGATGGGTATCTCTGTGATGGTAGGCTTTCACATCCCTAGATTTTCGGCCTTTAGAAGCTGGGCCATCTATACTGATTCCACTGTTCCTTGAGTCTTCGGTACGTGAGAACTATACCGATGTGGTTAGGACTCTTTTGGGGGGGATAAGGCAGAGTTGCTATTACTCTTTTTCTGCTCAAAATTAGTACTCTGCTTTGCAAGCTGGTGGTAGGGCTGAAAATTGACCAGTTACGGACACCGAAGACATGCAGGAGAGTCCAAAAATACCGCTTCCCTCCCAGACACAGCGTTTATGTAGGTCGAATATCACCATGCGGCCAGCAGCTTCTTCCATTTGGGAAGTTGTTAGTTCGCCGCTGATCAACAATATCGTAGATGAGATTGAGTGTTGATTGACTAGTATATAAACTAGGCAAATCTGGGGGTAAAATATACAAGACCTGGTTATGCTACAGTACACTGCTATGAAGGCTGAAAGAGGGGCCACCAAGCTACGTGGAATGGGAATCCCAATATCAGATTCACAACCATAGTAATGCAAACAATTCAAACACTGCCACTTCCCATGTCCAAATCAGTCTTCAAGTCTCTAATTCCCTTTCCTTTCTCCACCATCACCTTAGAATCAACTACCATAATTCCTACAATGCCCGCTACAGTTGCGCAGATTCTCGCGCATTACGAGTACAAACCGGAGCAAGTAGAGCGGGTAGCCCAACGAACAATACAACCTCCCATTACCATAGTTGGGCCCAACCCAGAATGGCCGAAACGGTTCGAAGAAGTCAAAGCCCGGATCCAAAAAGCCCTTGGTCCCTTGGTCCTGGACGTCGCTCATTCCGGCTCTACCGGTGTCCCTGGCCTACCAGCCAAGGACATTATCGATGTCGATCTGACAATCAAAGACGCTACGGATGAAGATTCCTACGTGAAGCCTCTAGAAGACGCAGGGTTTCGGTTCACCTTGCGCGAACCGTTATGGCACCAGCACCGGTTCTTCGTGGAGGATTGGCCTGGAGCCTACCATGTCAATATGCACGTGTGGGGCCCTGACTCACCCGAAGCTGCCCGTCATCGTATCTTTCGTGATTGGCTACTTAAAACACCGTCGGATCTGGAACTATATGCCAAAGTGAAACGCCAAGCTGCGGAACAAGCCGCTATAGCTGGAGATTCGATGATGGATTATACCTTACGGAAAGATGAAACGATTCATGAGATCCTAGCACGAGCGTTCCGTGATTTAGGCTATATTGAATGAGACATTAAGAGGTGGTTTAGTTGGGTGCTATCGGAATCAAAGTAGAGAAATTCAATAATCCAGATTGTGGTTTGGAAGCGCTGATTACTATCTGTAGTCTCCATTCATATCTTTTTCGAAAGTGGAAAGTGAAAGTGGAAAGGGCTTTAACTAGATACTTGAAATGCATATGGGTCGTCAGCTGCTTATTGAGGTATGTGTGAGACTTATGAAGATGATATCTAAAACCGGTCATCCGAGAAAAGAAATAAAAATTCATTCAATAGTCCATCGGACAGTGGCTGTGGACTATATTGCCCGACATATCAACTTCAGATCTGATAGGTGAAAGCCGGGAACCCCTGTGCCGGTGCATGTCTAACCTCCTCCCTCAAAGTCTTCAGCTCTTTATCCTTCTCTGCACTTTCAGCTTTCAACTCCTCATTCCTCTGAGTAACATACTCAACCCTCTTAAACGCCACTGCAATGCTTGTCAGCTTCCTCGCAAGTTTATGCGACAAATCGACCACAAATTCTCCTCCCTCGGTAATAAGTTCGTCCAGATCTTCACCAACCAACGTGGTGTATCGCAGTGCCACGAACTGAGATAACAAGTTCCTTGCATCGTCAACCGCACTGGTCGTTTTATATATGAGTCTGATTGCATCCACCAAGTACGGGAACAAGTCTTTGTTTCCTTGCTCCAGGGCAACGAGGACCTGAGCCAACCGATTTAAGGCGAATTGCTCCAATTTTTCAAATTCGAGTTGACGTGCAAAGGAGTATACTTTAGCGTGGAGATAAATCTCGGCGGGCTTGTTCCCTTCGGTTTCTTGTCCTGGCTCTTCTTCATCTTGGTCTTTCTTTTCATGGTCAGTGACCTTCTGCGTCGAGGCTTGCTCCGTGGCCAGAGTGACCCCATCGCAATATTCCAGCGGGGTGAGGGGTCGGTTGTTGAGGTCGAGCTCTGATAAAGCCTCGGATGGTGGCGAGTCTGGGGCTATGGAGGACTCGGCAATTGGGGACAATGACCTTGCACGCGCAGGAGACATTGGAGATGGTGAGTGTGGCCATGAAGGTTCTGACTGCGGGCTGTCAGGTGGTGATGTTGGTTCTGCATCGGTTGATTTGGTATTAGCTTCTGGTTTAATTTTGATAGGTCTAAGATGGGAGTTTATTACCGTTTTCTTCGTTCGCTTCCTCCGCCTCGTCTACTACCTCTTGTTCTTGCTCTTCTTCTCCCTCTCCTTCTCCATCTTGCGCTGGGGCCTCTTCCTCCGCATCTGCCTCATAACCCTCAACTGCCACAGAGGTTGCTTGAGGTGCCTCATAACCGGCAGTATAAAGGAAGTTCAATACGCAATCAATTGTTTGCTCGTCAAAACCACTCCAATCAATCGCCTCCTCGTATTCATCAGTTGATGCCTTCAGTCGGGCATCGAATGCAGGGTGGACCTCGAGGGTTCCACGGTGGACATAGTAAACGCGTTCGTCGCTGCCCACGACGACTTTGACTGGGCGCTTTGCAAAAATCGACCTGTTTGAGGGTTAGCAAGAGTCGGCTATGTGATGAATACACCGTGATCCTGTGTGCATATGTATACCTAGAAGGTGTCTTGGAGTCGGACGACATGGTCAAAAATAACGAACCGGTAAACGAGAAGTATAGACAGATGAAAATGAAAGGCTATCCTGGAGAAAGTTGAAAGATTAGGATATAATGTTATGGTGTTTAAGTAGGGACTCTCGGAGACCACCCCTCATGACAAAACAAGCCAAGTACTTGGCGAATAGGTGCTTTTGACAATGCAGTGAGACCCAATCTATTTTGAAAGTAGGGCGACCTCTAGCAGGGATATACGTGGGCTGACGGCTGACTAGGCTGTTGCATTTCCTCTACATATGTACACAGTAAACCGGTAGTTATATATACGTCACGTCTGTAATTATGTGGCCAAGGTTATACTGATTACAAAACATCCAAGTATCTAACTACAAATTGGCTGGTAGCACCACAAGTATTGCGCAACACCCCTATTATAGCGCTAGTTATACTTAGCGTGGTGAGTGCGACTCCTTTAAGAGTCGACACATTCTATTTTGTAGACTCTATGACCTTTACATTCCAATTGTATACCATACATTGTTAAATCCTCTCTCCATTCCTAAGTCTCTGGTTACGTGCAGTATCCATTCACCTTGTATTACTCGAACAGTCTTAGTAGAGGACGACCTAAGTATCCTACAGGATATTATGACTTTTGCCTCTTATACTTATATTAAGCTTTCCAGATCCGTGGAAAGGGGCTAAATCTTTGCGAAGACCCACTAGTTATAAGTTTCTGTACCATGGAACAAACGTGGGTCTCTCTAACCCTATGTGTGGAAGATCTGCCTGAAGGCTAATGTATAGATTCACTAGTCGGATAACCCTATCTACATTTAAGAGCAATCAGTGCAACAATGGTTGATTAAGTCAAGGTCGGAGATAGTCTCGTGGACATCTTACGGTATCCCAACAAAACATCGCAAGTGGACAAATTAATTATATAAGCGAAAGGTTGTGTAAGGTTCAGATATTCTATCATAACTATGCCAAACATTAGGCCGATCGGGGCCCATTGAATGCCAGGAGCCCCCTATGTTTGACGAGCACATCCACGATCTTGTCATGTTCTCGAGAAGGGGCAATAGAAAGCGCAAGCTTGGCGTCAGCCCCATTCTCAACAAGGAGGTTAACGATCTCTTTATGTCCATGAGAAGCGGCAGCGGCAAGAGCGCTCCCGTAGTCTCCACACGACAATATAAGGTTGGCGTCAGCCCCATTCTCGATAAGGAGGTTAACGACGTCTTTATGTCCTTTAGAAGCGGCAGCGGCGATAGCGCTCCCGTAAATTCCACTCGACAACGTAAGGTTCGCGTCGGCCCCACTCTCGATAAGGAGGTTAACGATCTCTTTATGTCCATAAGAAGCGGCAGCGGCAAGAGCGCTCCCGTAGTCTCCACACGACAATATAAGGTTAGCGTCAGCCCCATTCTCGATAAGGAGGTTAACGAGCTCTTTATATCCTCCCCAAGCGGCAACGGCAAGAGCGCTCCCGTAAACTCCACTCGACAACGTAAGGTTCGCGTCGGCCCCACTCTCGATAAGGAGGTTAACGATCTCTTTATGTCCATGAGAAGCGGCAGCGGCAAGAGCGATCCCGTATCCTCCAGTCGACAACGTAAGGTTAGCGTCGGCCCCATTCTCGAGAAGGAGGTTAACGACCTCTTTATGTCCTCCCCAAGCGGCAGCGGCGAGAGCGCTCCCGTAAGCTCCACTCGACAACGTAAGGTTCGCGTCGGCCCCATTCTCGATAAGGAGATCAACGATCTCTTTATATCCTTTAGAAGCGGCAGCGGCGAGAGCGCTCCCGTAAATTCCACTCGACAACGTAAGGTTCGCGTCGGCCCCACTCTCGATAAGGAGGTTAACGACCTCTTCATCTCCTTCAGAAGCGGCAGTAGCGAGAGCGCTCCCGTAATATCCACCCGACAACGTAAGGTTCGCGTCGGCCCCATTCTCGATAAGGAGGTTGACGACCTCTATATATCCTCCCCAAGCGGCAGCGGCGAGAGCGCTCCCGTAGTCTCCACTCGACAACGTAAGGTTCGCGTCGGCCCCATTCTTAATAAGGAGGTTAACGATCTCTTTATGTCCGAAATTAGCGGCAGCGGCGAGAGCGCTCCCATAATTATTTTCTGGCAACACGAGGTTCGTTTCTATCCCTCGTTTTATCAGTGTCTCACAGATAGGTTTGCAACCTGCCTTGATAGCAAGTGTCAAGAGGGTGTCGCCATGCCCATTGGTTTGTGAAACAGTGAACTCTGCATCGTCCCACCAGTCCCGCAAGAGAATGTAGAACGGGAAGCGGCACATAGCGCAAATTGTGACATTTTCTGGAGAGATACTCTCCCTTTGGGATATGTAGCCGACTTCGCGCAAAAAGCTCGACTGTGGGGCTGTATATAAGTATGGGTCAAGGCAACGATACCAGGCGCGGTATTGAAAACTGCTCTCGCCGGGAGAACCAAGAAAACTCTTCAAAAGCTTCGCTAACCGAGGGTCTACTTCTTTTCCTTCCTTGGCGGTTAGATCTTCGTATGTTCTAACGTGAATCACCCAGTGATGCCGTACATATATTATTAATGGATAAACGGAGCGAGGCTTGTTCAGGGGGTTCATGTTGTTCTTGTCGCCTAGGATTACCATACCGCTTGCGTAGGTTGGGTTCCCATACGTCTCAATCAGAAGCCTGAGACACAGTTTGGCAGCATCGGAATGAGCCTGCCAAAGGCCCCAGTGGTTGGCTTCAAAATACTCCACTACCGACAGGTGGGAGAACCTCCAAACACCCCTCAAAGAATCGAGAACAAGTAGGTTTTTGCATAGAACCAGTAAGCCTGATTCGGTGACCATGTTTTCAAGGTTGATGGAATTTTCGTCAGAATCAATGCAAATTGCAAACAAAAGCTCATCGCTGCTGGGAGGAGTGCAGGCACTCATCACCCACTTGCACGCGCGATCCACGAGGACCTTCGCATGCTGAAATTTCGCAATGTTTCCGTATACCTCATCGTATGCTTCTTTGAGTCCAATCGGGAGTCTCCCAAGCCTATCCCGGATGTCTGGTTCAGTTGGCAATTCAAGCACTTGTTGAATCTGTAGATACGCCCATTGGAACCTGTTTTTTTTTATAAGCTAAATCATGAAAGCTTCTCAACCAAGCGGAACTTACATTCCCTGGCTGCCTTCGCTGAGGGTTCTGACGATTTCGTTCCGCAGTGATTGGGATATCGCTCCCCAATGTCTAGGCTTGTCTATTTCGGCATTGACAAATTTCTCAATGTCACCCTGATTGTTTGTCGCCTGGATCTCAATGTTCTTCCCAGAGAACTGCGTCTTGATGTCTTCGTCGGGCCGGCTTGAGATGAAGACCTTGAGCGGCCGATCAGATTTGGATACTAACTCCCGTATGACATCGATGAGCTGCCAGCGCGACTGCTCATAGCATTCGTCCAGGGCATCAAGAATGATTGTGGTCTGAGAGTACCCATTTACCGATTCTAGTAGTTGAGTCTTGCATGCCTCGAGACCAAGGTGAGATCCCTGACATCTCGCCTTATCGCTGACGGCCTGAAGCCTTTTTCGTATATGTCCAGTACTTCCAACAGCGGTTGAGAGTTGGCGAACGTAGCTTTGAACGATGCGAAGTGGATCTCTTCGTTCCTCTTCATTCCGATTGCAATAAAAATATGCAAAACCCGCATCGGTTGATGAGCTTCCAAGCAGATCCCGAACATGGTCAATAACCTTGGAAGTGAGGTATGTTTTCCCAGCTCCCACTAAAACGGTTAGCGTCACAGAAGTCTAAAACAATGACCGTCGTGTGCTTACTCGAGCCTTGAAGCCACAGAACCGCCGATGACTGATAGTCCCTCCATTCACAAAAGTCTTCGTCTTGTAGCAACCATTCACATGTGCCGTGAGTTCGAGATTCCGCTCTAAAAGTGTGATGCTTTCCATATGGTATCGGCGAGATCCATTCTAGAAGCTCGCGCTCGTCCTTGACGCTAATTCGTTCCATAATCAAATCTCTTTGGACATTGTTAGCATTGATTCCCTTACAGGGGTTTTCGTCACCTACACCTGGTACCGAATGGTAGGGATCTCCGCTGTGATGTTAAGAAGCTCTCTGAGATCAGATCGACTTGATAGATCACAAGCCTTTTCACAGCCGTCTGCAGCTTGCAGTAACTGCTTTTCACTTCCAGCGAGCTTGTCCATATGGCTTCGTGCGTTTTCGAGCTTGAATACAGCATCTATCTTGACCTTGCTCTGCTGGCGTCTTACCATGAAGGCAAGGAATGACTGTAATCCAGCATAAGTTTGGACAATGGATGCGCTCAGTTTACCCAAGGCGTCTTCGGGCGGGCGGAGAGTGGGATCTGGAGCCATGTATAATTGCTGGTACATGTCACATCGTACGAGGAGCGAAGCAACCTCGGCCATTCCAGTGAGGATAAAGCCTTTTAACTCGCGGTTTGCGGTCAAAATCTAAAGAATTCAGCTTTCTTGTCGGAGAAAATAGGTTGTTCCAGTTCCGTATTGTCCACATACAACACACTGGAACCAATGGTCTACTTACCACGATAACAGATCGAACAGCGGCCCATGGCAGGGCAGCATGAACAGGGTCAAAGCTGACAACGACATCTCCGACGGAAAGAAATTTGTTCAACACGGATAAGAATTTGTCAATAGATGTCGTTCTGTCGTGATGCTCGCTCTTCGATGCCACATCCAGTTGCTTTTGAATGTCCTCTACCAACCCTTTCCTATCGGTGTCGTCGCGGTCCAGATCACCCAGCAACGCCTCCACATCACGCCTTTCTTCTTCCTTTAATGACTCTAGGGCTTCAGTCCACAGGTCGTAGTTGTCAGCATATGGCCTCCGCTGGTTCGATTGTTTGGATGCTTGATCTTTTGGAGGTTCGTGGGGCGCTTGGACCTGAGAAACGGAATTGAGGCTTTGCTGGGCGGAGGGCGCTGAAGGCATCTCAGCATCGCCTGGTGCCGTAAATACTTTGGTTTCCGTTGTAATTTTGCTATGGACTAGAACGTATTAGTTTGGGTGACAGAATATCAAGTCCACGGTCTGAAATTTCGTACCGGAACCTTCTAGTGCGAGATTGTCCTCAGGTTGCCTGGGACCCTTTCCGTCACGGTTTCGGCGCCAAATACCACAACATAATATTGAGGACATCGCTTCACTTGAGGTTGATACTGCGAGAGCTCAGAATTGTTACAGTCAAAGGGAGAAGCAAAGCACCAATGCATAGGGGAGGCTGAGGTGTTCAGCTGCCCCCGCATAAGCGCGCTCTTGGGTGTGGAGTTTTACGTGGCGTAGTATGTTGAGGCTAGTACTACGTCTTATTGGGTCGACAGTTGGGCGGCCCGGGACGAGCATAGCTTAGGTACTCCGTACATACTAACTAACTAGTTATACCTACCTAGGTAGGTCCGACAGTAACAACCCCCGTGTACGGGCGACTCTAGAGACTACCGTCACATGACTCTCTCATTGGCTAGTGCCTTACAGCCTATTTTATCACCGCCTTTTTGAAGGTACATTAATTTCAGCTTCTCTTTTATTTTTACACCTACATACTTCACAGGTCACGCTAGGTCTCAAATTCCCGTGTTATCAAAGGAAAGACCTCTAACTGGACGGCTTTAGGTCTATCCTTAGGTTTCCTTCTAGATTTCAATGTTGGAAAAATATGGTATTAGGCATACTGTATATAAGCATACACTAACAACTTACTACATCTTCTTTTTTGGATGTTCTTCTTAGGGTCTTTCTAGTTGTCTTTCTAGTTGTCTTTCTATATGTCTCTTTATATATGTCTTTTTCGTATACATATAAAGGCGGTAAGAATATAAACCACATAGTTAGTACGCAGCGGTATAGGCGCCAAAACCCTATTTCCGGTAAATGTTGCTGCCTTGATGCCTAGCTTTGGCCTGGTTATTGACCGCTCCCTACACCGCCCTGTACAATGTACTGTAACTAAACTATGGACAAATGCCTTAATTTAATGCCTTAATGCCTTATTTTTGCCTGCCTTAGTTACCTTGTTTTAGACCGCTTTTAGGCCTGTAACCAACTCGGCATGCAATAACTACCTAGGCGCCGTTAACCCATAAAAATGAGGCTTTTGATCCCTATACAAACGGCGACATCTCCATGTTTTTGGATGGGTTGCAAGCGCCAAAATGAAGTTTTTCATCTGCACACGAATGGCAGTATCTCCGTATTTTTGGACGGTTTACAAATGTTAAAAATGAAGTTTTTGATCCCATACAAAGTGAGATATCTCTACTGACAATTGCAAACCACTATAAAACATGGAGATATCTGCATTTGTATGCTAATGAAAGGCTTCATTTTTGAGAGTTGTAAGCCCCTGCAAAATCAAGCTACTTTGTATTGGAAGTGTTATGGTAAATCTAGGTATTTTAATTCTTCTGCCGGTTTTAATTCAGGCAGCGAGGTTGATGTGAGCTAGAGAGACCTTGTGAGGTGCCTTGTACTCAATAATGAAAGCCGGGACCTTCTCTACTTGTCCTTGGTTTTCGCTTCGTTAGCTTGGTCAAGAAGAACCCGCTGGAGTAAAACAACCTCTTTTGTAAGCCTGGCGATTTCCCCTTCAACCGCCGAAATCCTCGGGTATTGATTGAATATATAGCTGTGTAGTTCCCGCAGTTCATCCCGGAGCTTCTCCATATTGTCCTCCTTCTTCGCCTCCTCCTCCTCCTTTTCCTCTTTTTCTTTCTTCTCCCGTTGTTCTTCTTCCAACTTTTTAACGTTGAAATTATGGGCGACGTGGCTTATGATTACCCCGTTAACTCCAAACACGACTCCTGTCGCCCCAAAGACGTACGTCGTCCAGTGGGGGGACGACCCCGGGCTGGGTTCTCCACGCTTAAACACTAAAGCTTCATTGTTACTATATGAAGGTGTTTTCCTGGCTTGGAATTTATAATATACCATTAGAGGCCGATTGGCCACTAGAATCGTTTGGGGACGTGGAATGTGGTGGGGAGGTGGAATGGAAAAAGGACTATCTACATATATATACTTATTATAATACGTATAATACGTACAATATGTATCATAATACGTATAATATAGGATTCACTAGTTATATAGGTATAGGGACTTCTAAAGTGAATTGAGTCTGAACTGAGTCTGAACTGAATCTGAACTGAATCTGAACTGAATCTGAATCGAATTTGAAGAAAACTGGCTGATCTCTTGGCCGTTAGTTTAGGTGTAGGTGAATCTTTATAGGGTAGACTGTTGTAGGATGTAGGTGTGACTTACAAAGTACAACGAAACAGTCAACATCGTGGAAAGTGATAAAACTAGGAATGTAGCGAGCCCAGCGAGAGAAAGTGGACCTAGCTGTTTGTTTTGTAGGGTCCAGAAGAAAGGCACAAGACCGAAAATAGTGAATAGAAACACGAAAATTTCGAGTAACGGTGGTATTTTGATATGGTTGTTGTTAAGATTGGAGAAGTTGACTGAAGTCAGGTAGGAAAAAGGATTAGGTGAAAATTTCTGGCAGTCATCTGGGGGAAGGTGCCCTTGGGGTGGAACTAGGCAAGAGCCAAAGAGGCAGCCAGATACCCGAAGCCGGCCCACGACCACCACTCCTCAGGACTAGACCTCAGGAAAGCCTATAGAGCCCACAGCCCAACCCAACCCAATCCACCAAATGGGCTGGGTTTTGGGCCTATGCTTCGGTCCCATCGGTGGCCCGGAATGGAAGCCTATAAAAATAATAGGGGCCTATGGTGGGCCCCTATTATGAACTAAACAATACAACTATGCCAATTTATCGTAGCTACATAACTAATGCATTTTTCTTTTTAGGTTTTTTTAGGTTTTCAAATTACTGTCTGAGCTATATATGAAGCTATATAGAAATCTTCTTTCTTGGAGAAAGTAGATAACTATTGATAGAGAGAAAGGTAGATTGGGAGATTCAAACTTGATTTTCATAAAGCTTTACTTTTTACAAGAGGTACTTATTTTTATTAGAGGTTTATATAGTAAATAGTATTACTATAGAGAAAGCGATAATTCTATCAATCCCCTCTAGATAATATAGTTATATATTTCTCTTTATAGGTGCTAATTCGTGGCATTGAGGTCAAATTATATCTTTTCCAGGTGATCTTTTATGAAATCTAGCATTATAATGCTAAAATCATTATAATATCTACCTAATTCATACTTACTATGATAATATAATAATACTGAATATATAGGTTGGTACATGCGCAAAGTACAGCCATTAATCAGCTACTTTGTGCGTTCCAAGACTATATTTGTGCACAGAAATGGGCTTTGATGGGGCCTTATGGCCCCCCCATCAATGGGCTGTGGGTTGGGCTGTGGGCTGGGGTTGGGCCAATTCGTGGACTATCTTGAGGTCTACTCAGGACATGGACAGGTAGCCTCAGGCATATTGTCACTTGGTGATTTGGGTAAGTACCAGAGGCCTTGACCTCGAAAATATTCAGAAAGTGGACGCATAACCTTTCTGTATCGCTGGCCCTTGGGCTATGAAAGGTTTATTGCCAGTAATTCCCCCGACGACCGAGGCGACGCATTCTCAAAAGAGACCCGTAGGCCGTGGACTACCTGTGCGGTAATTTGGATCAAGTGTCACATTACAATTGTTATAACCATGACAATAAATTCTCCATCCAGTGTCATCTGGCGTCAAACCAGGCTCAAGATTAATCCACGTTGTAAGGACTAGAGCCACATGATAACCATATTCACAGACTTCAATGCGGGTATCTGTATTGCATTGGTTACATGTATAAGTGGAATAGGGATCTTTCTCTCCATCGAGATAGGCGAACACCACGGCGTTTAGTAGTTCGCTTTTCTGCCGATCAAGAACGTGTGGGCAAATAAACATAACCATTAGAGGTTTCCCAGCACATTCGATAATACTAGGTCCAGATAGCAGTAGCTCTAATCTGATATGGTGAACGAGTATCACACACTGCGTTCTTGAATAAAGCCCCGGCGTCTCCGAACAGATCTGCGCGTCGGTCGAAAAGAGACAGGTGATATCAGGGTATAATGATTCTTTAAGGTGAATCCGAACTTGGGTATAAGATAATGCTTCAGTGCTGATTCCAAACTGGTCTCCTAGATAGAACCTTCGCATAGCAAGCTAAAGATGTAGGAAAAAGAATCTGCGGTACACATAGTGCGTAAAGTTTATTCCTTAGCGGATTTCTAAATCTCTGTCGTCGTCGTCCTCCTAAGATAGGAAATACCGGCGAGGACAACTGGCCTCGATCAGTGGTCTAGATGGACCAAAGCGCTCCGAGCCGTCATACTTATGGAGGATAAAGCAAACATGGCAGATGAAGTATTTCGGTAGATCTCGGTTCAGGCGGCACAAAACAGGCAGTTTCATCTTCCCAAACGGACGGGCGGAATTATACCGACGGTTGAATATGGCGAAGAGCCGGCGACTGCAGAGTGATATGCAAATCCAATCATCCACAAGGAGGAAGTCGGTTATTGATAATAATAGCTCGACCGGGAGACCGGCTAGCGTATTCATATTGGGGATCGCGGACGGTGGACCACCTCTTGTCCGTAGCCCAGGGATCACCGACCAGCAAATACCAAGGACGGCATTTTGGAGATGTTCAGCTCTCACAGACCGAGATGAAGTCCAAGTGACCGAACAAGTTTCTGTCCGAGGAAGATGAACTGATCGCAGCCTGGCAGATTTGAAACAATAACGGCAATGGTAGGGATGGGGCGATGCTAATTCGAACGTCCGACGCCAAAAAAGATCTCGGAATCGCTAAAATCATGGAACTACCTAGGTAGGTAGGTTCCATCAATCTGGCCTCACTTTGCCTAATTAGGGACGGCGGTATATGATTATTAACTTCTTTTTATACCAAGGTGTATGATGCCTAAATGCCTGGTTTCTGCCTTATTTTGGTCTTGACAGAAAAACAGAATGCATGAATTACAATAACAGGTACCTTACATATGTATTAAGCAAAATACTCAAAGTGCCTCAGTCCAATAAAATGAAGCTATTCCCGCCATATAAAGCATCATACACCCCCGGACCTGGCGGTGAAAGTCAATGTTGTATGTTGTAGTTATTAATTGAAGCCTGCCGATACCTAAGGAGGAACTGCACATTAACACGGTACAATATCCCCTCCGTAAAGAATCTCTAAAACTCTACAACGTAGAACCTTCCAATATGGATTTCAAATCGATACGGAACACGGTCAATGAGTTTACCTCGTTGCGCGACTAAGTGGACCACCCAAACATAACTCTCTCATTGGTTCATATTGCCAGGCAATAATTTAGATCCACCATGTTGAATCTATAGTTATACAAAATGAATACTATATTAATTTTTAAAACCGGGCTCTATATACTCCTAACTCTTAAGTCTTACCTCTTGATTCCTTACTATCTTACATCTTAATCTGAAATGAATCTGAAATGAATCTGAAATGAATCTGAATTGAATCTGAATTGAATCTGAATTGAATTGTATTGTAGAGAGGGTAGTTAAACAAGAAGGCGGTAGTGAACTAAACGGTGAGTAACTAATGAGAGAGTTAGTTATGTGTCGGGTGGCATATTTAGTCGCCCGTATTAATCCCCACACGATTGCTGTTGCCCCAAAGAGGTAGGTCGTCCAGTGTGGGGACGACCTCGAGCTGGTTTCTCCACGTTTTCCGAGCACTAAAGCTTCATTGTTACTATATGAAGGTGTTTTCCTGGCTTGGAATTTATAACATACCAGCAGAGGTCGATTGGCCACCATAATGGGGTGATGGGGGCGTGGAATAGAGGAAGTGCTATGTACACTTAGACTCTTGCTAAGACACGTAGGATGTAGGTATGACTTACAAGGTAATAGCCTACAGCGGCAAGAATGAGACCAGGAAGGAGTGTCTTCCCAAGGGTCATGGCGAGAGAAAGTGGAGCGGGTGGTGGGCTTTTATTGAAGTCCCTGGAGACCCAGAGGAAATATCCGATATTAATCGTGATACCTAGAGCAATGAAAAAAGCGAATTCCATATCTAGAAACGACATTTTGATGAAGTTTGTATGATTGAAGAACTTGTCAGAAGTCAGGTAGGAATAAAGGATTAAGTGAAAATTTCTGGCACTCATCTGGGGGAAGGTGCCCTTGGGTGGTAAAGGGTGTGTGTGTGATAGAGAGAGAGGGAGAGAGAGAAGAAGAAGAAGGTGGTATTTATATAATAACCTTAAAGTGAAATCTTTTAGCCCGTATCAAAGATGTACCTACTTCTATTTACATAAAATATATATATTTAAATATTGATAATCCATCACCTATTGAACCCCCGTATAGGCTAGACTAGGGCTAGCAGGCCGAGATCTTCCAAGTAAGCTTACAGACTACAACATGCGTAAAAAAGAGGCATTATTCAGCAGGTTTATGAGCGCCAAGACTGGATTTATGTATAGAAATGGGCTTTATTGGGGGCCTCATGGGCCCTCACTAATGGTGATTGGGCTATGGGCCTGAGGTCCGGGCTCAACTCGGCCCATTGCGGAGGTCTACCTGGGGTGGAACTAGGCAAGAGCCAAAAAGGCGCCTGCCTTTTTCGGCCCACGATCACCGCTCCTGGTTATTGGTAACCGCAAACCGCGAGTTAAAAGGGTTTATCCTCACTGGAATCAGACAACCTGTACAGCACAAATACCGCCAAAATGACCTCTTATATAGAATAAACTCTTTTCACCTGCTTCATGTACATCTAAAAAGACATCCAAAAAGGCAACTAAAAATAACATAATGTCGAGATCACCTGATCCTGTTTGTCAGGACTGGCAGCTACAAATAGCTTCCTCTCCCTCTTCTTCTTCTTCTTTTCCCCTTAGCAGCTAGCAGTCAGTTATAATACAGTGATGGAGATCCTACGGAATTGAGATTCAGATACGGAGAAACAATACTGTAGGATTTGTATGGAGTAAATGGACTTGGTGGCTGAGCGTATGAAGTTGATCATTGCCAGGAGTCACAACCGGGCGGTGTGACGAGTGACACCTAATCTCCCTCGCCAAATCTTCTCAATATCCATCTACTCTGCCATGGACACACATTCTGAAATGGCGAACACCGAGGCGTCCCCTGGAAACACGGCAGATTTTGGTGACTTCGTGAAAGATGAAGAAGAGGAACTTGATCTCGAAGAGCTTGTTGAGCCATGGCATAGGTACGACATAGAGGATAACCAAAATGTCCTCTATTCCGTCCGCCTTGGGGAAGTGCTTAACGAGAGGTATCTGGTTGAACATAAACTTGGCTTTGGTGGTGGCTCAACTGTCTGGATGGCATTTGACCTACAAGATAAGAAAAACGTGGCCCTCAAAGTCATGGCCCTAGGGGAATGGGGCGACAACGAAACTCGAATCCAGGATGAGATTATCAAAACTATACCGGTACAGGATACTTCTCGCCTGGTTATGTATACTACGACTTTCTTTCTACCCCGAAACGATGAAAGTTGCCATAGGGTCTTGGTATTCCCTATGAAAGGGCCATCCATCTGTACTCTTACCTTAAAAAAGTGACTCCTATGGCCTCTCGTATGTCTGCTGCTCGACAATTATTGGAGACTGTGGCAAGTTTACATAAAGCTGGAATCATACATCGCGGTAAGTCGGAACTCCCTTATTTCGTTTTCTTATATACTAAGAAAAATGCTATAGATTTGAATGCAAGGAACTGTATGTGGGGAATGTCTCCTATCGATGGTCTTAGTAGAAGCACCAAGTATGAGTTACTAGGTCGGCCTCTAAAGCAGACAATACCATTTGTCGATCTCTGGAAAAAGGGCGAGCTTGTGAGCCCTATCAAAGTTCCTAAAGGCCTTCTTCGTCTAGAAGAATTCTATCTCTGTGATTTTGGTTTAGCAAAGAAAATCGGCGACCTTACTACTGAACGCGGCTACCCACCTATGCATTACTGCTCTCCAGATCGACTTCATGGACAAGAACCAAGTTTTTCTTGCGATATGTGGAGCTATATGGCTATTTTCTCTATGCTCTACCTTACATTTCCTCCGTTTCCTACATTTCTCGAGGGTGGAGTTGTGAGTGGTATGGTTGAATGCTTAGGTCCCCTACCTGAGCAGTGGAAAGGCCTTTATACACATCCCGGCGGGCTTGATTCATGGTATGATCAGTCTCAATCTCCTGGTCTAGATAATGACCGTGACCTTGCTGCGAAAATTGCATATTTTCGTCCCGACACTGATCTGGTCGAGCGACAACATGTGCAATCTATCATGTCGAAGGTCTTTGTCTACCACCCAGAAAAACGGCCGACCGCAATAGAACTTTTGCGAGATCCTTCATTCAGGGCCATCATGGATCGGTACGGGTGCTGAGACTCGAATGAATAGACTGTCAATTCCATTATCATCTCAAAGCTAGGAATCTGAATCTTTCTCTTTTTTGAACCGGGGTCTTCTAGAAAAATGGGTTCCAAAAAACTGATCGGCAACTCCTTTACCTAAATGTTCTTCACAGGAATATTCAGCCCGTACAGCAGACGTACAGCAGCCTTTTTAAGCTTCAGTCAAGACCATACCAGAGGGGCTGATTTATTATGATTATTATGATTATTATGATTATTATGATTATTATGATTATTATGATTATTTATTTTTTATTTTTTACCTGGTGCAGATCTTTCCTACGGCGTAAAACCCAAGCCTCCAACCCTTCTGTTTGGGGCTGAGTATAGATTTTACCCCACAGTCTTGGCAATCAGGGGGCCAAGCTTACTGACTACGAAGGACATGCTATTAGGTTACCATCAAAAAACAAATAGATTTCCGATGATTTACCCAGCGCATGTTCTGTTTTCTGAGAGCAATCCATTGATAATCATCATACAGGTGATCTTGCGGGGCGATTATGTTGGACGCTATGGGCATTTACATCCGGTTCGTATAATCTTGGCGAAGATCCATGTCGTGGCGGAGTCATTCAAGATCCCGTATGGGGCCTGAGTTTCCGGTGACAATAATATAAATACCCCTTGGTTACCCGGTCTTCAAATCGTCACATTTTCAATAATCCACTAAGATTCTAAACTCCTTCTTCTCCTTCTAAGACATGGGTTTCATCAATAATGGCCATACTTCGAGTGATGGCTATACCTTCATCAAAGCTGCATCCAAGTGCGTTCTTCAAGTCTTCCACTCATGTGTGTCACTCTCATACTCATATATCCTCGATTAGGGCCTACGCTGAACAGGAGGATCAGAAGCGGAAGCAGAGGGAAGGTATCCAACCTGCTTCCCAAAGGCTCCGACAAGCTTCCCAGCAACAGTTCTATCTTGAAAACAAGCGGCGAATGGGCTATAAGGATACTAGCAAAATAAACGATCCTTATACCCACCCGCCGGACCTTCCACACGAGCCTCGCTCACCCCATGACAGCAATGTGAACAAGTCTAAGCCACAAGCACAATCAAAATCGACCTACGAGCCGTCAATGCGTCGTACAACTACTAAGACCATGGATGACCCTCCGCCATACGATCCTTCACCAAAGACACAATCCCAGTCGATCCACCAGCCGTCAATGGGCCGTACAAGTACAAGGACCATGGAGGATCCTCCTCCATACGATCAGAGCCACCCTTACGAAATGCAGGTGATTGATAAGGCTGGATCAGATCAGGAACATTCCCAGCTGAAATAGAAAGGTGTAGCTTGAATTAAGTGTGGCATTCGTTTACGAGGTTGCATTCGTTAATCTCTGGATTTATCGGCTTCTCACGGTTTCTTCAGCTCTTCTTGTTTGGCTTCTATGGCTAAATAGTGAGGCCATTCGGCGTGTTTTTATCAAATTGGCGTCTAGACGAACATGTTGACAATTGTCCGCTCATCAGACAAGAGAAAAGCTGGAATATACAAGACAAGCGACAAGTCAGGGCGATTGTAATAGGCATATTTTTGTCTAGGGTGTTGTTAGGATTAACATTTTGTACATTAACGAGTCGTTCGATAATCTTGACGCTTCTATGCCGAACCACGACGGAGAACATGATTTTTTCAGAGTATCTCTGTGTGCTTTTCACCAAATGATAACTTAGAAGAAAATCAACAGCATCAACGTACCACAATTTTGTGGTTAATATAAGCGGTCTAAGGCCGGAATAATTTTCAGAGAGTACTAAAATGGCTATTAAAAAGGACTTGATAAGGTCAGGTAAGCGACTATTCTTGTACTTTTATAAAAGAAATAGCATTTAAGAATATCTAAACAATTCTATTGTTCGGCGATGCTAGGTATATATGCGTACACTAATATCTTACTAGATCTTCTTTTTTGGATGTCCTTCTTAGTGTCTTTCTAGTTGTCTTTTCTAGGGCATTATAAGGCATCATCTAGGTTCAATATTACTACTACATATGTAACTACACAACTAATTCCGAGGTTAGTTTTTGTAAAGTGGGAGTGGGTCGAGGTTACTGCCAGGCAATATGAACCAATGAGACAGTTATGTGACGGTGATCCCCCGTACTGCTATCTTCACCTTCTTCTGATCTTCTCTACTTCTCTTCTCCATCTTACCTACATTTACCATAAATTCGGTTGGCTATGCCAAGCCATCGGATTGGTAAAGATAGCCCCATCCCCCAAAGAAGGCGAGATGGCTGCACAGAATGTCGACGGAAAAAAGTCAAGGTAAAGAATTTCTTGCTGGCCAAATGAGCATCGCTAAGAAAATGTCTAGTGTGACCTGAAGAAACCTATCTGTTCGCGCTGCACGCGGTTTCCCAAAGAATGCAAATACGATATCAATATCATCAACCAGAATGTAGTCACCCACACAAGGCCGAGTGAAGCGAATCGCCAAAATGAGAGCGTCAACCAAAGCCTAAACCCTATCGCTCACCAGCCTGTTCTAAACCTATCACCATTTCTATCATCAAAAGAATCTCAATTTTTCATGCACATCTTTAACACCGAAACTGCCCCACGGCTGTTCCCCGCAGCTCCAGCGCTCTTCCTGCAAAGAATCATTTCAAGTTCCCTAGAGACACCCCATCTTCTCTATGCCCTCCTTGCATCTGCCTGCAGTCACCACAGCCGACTTGTCCAAGATACAGGACCGAAGTCTAAGGTATCCTGCTTGAGGTTTACGAACTTGTCAATTTCTAGCCTGCGCTCGGCTCTCAGTGAAACAAAGGCAACACTGACGGCTGAGACTGTGACAACAGCCATGGCCCTGTGCACTAACGATGTGTGCAATGGAAATATGCAGACATGGCGGACACATCTTGGTGGGGTAATGCGTCTTTTGGGTGCCTTTTTGGATACTCAAGGAACACCGCGAATTGCGGACCCTTACATTCAATGTTTGGTCAAATGGTTTACAACAATGAACGTTCTCGCTGGATTATCGGGATTCACCACTAGCCGTGTAATGAACTCCGATACAGGGCTACTGGATAGGTCTTTTGATCTGTTGAACCCGCATGTCGACGATATATGTGGATATTCCTTGAAGTTGGCTCCGCTGCTTGCAAGGCTATCTCAATTGGTGCAGCGCCAGTGTCACACTGGGCCTGCGATGCAACAAGACATCTTGGAAGCATCCCAAAGTCTTGAGATTGAGATCTTTTCCCTTGTTGAGTGCAGTGTTTCTGATGGAGATTCCCTTGAGCTGCAGAGTACACATCTTGCCTTTGTACACTCCGCTCTACTACACCTCCATCGCCGAGTCCAAACACTTCCAAGAACCCATGAGACGGTGAAAGAGGACATCAAGAAAGTCATAGCCGCAGTAGAAGACATCCCACCGTTCTCTTCTGCGAATATATTGATCCTTTGGCCCATGTTCAGCGTTGGCTGTGAAACCGACGATACCAAGGAACGCGAGTTTATCCACAAGCGGATGGGCGATATGCAAAGTCTCGGTATGGGAAATTTTACAAGAGCACGAGAGCTTCTGAGTAAGTTTTGGGAATCCGGGACATCCTTGTCCTGGGACACCTATTTTTCTAATCTTGGATTGGAATTGGTTCTATTCTAAGCCCTCTGAGCGTACAATGTTTCCTCTGGACGTTCAGGGAAGCGCTGCAACCTGCAAAATACCCATGATCCTTTGCATTTCCCTTTTAGTCTACCTTTGACTATTGACTCTCCAGAAGCGGTTGAACGGGGTATTGCATTAATACCGAGCGGACTGGAAGCCCTATTCTCCACACCCTATGGTCGTATATACTGGATAAAGCGATGAAGGCAATTATAAGCAAAGAAAACACCTGGTCATTGTCTACACACCCAAAGCCAGCGGCAGCTTCTCATACTCATCACGCATGAACTGTCTCAGAGTGTCCAATCCATCAACTATCACATGGCTGTCTTGGACATAGCCCAACCTCACATATCCGTGGAAGTCCACACCACCTCCGAAGCACTGGCTTCCAGGGACCAGCATGACACCAGTCTTTTCCTGGAGTCGCTGACAGAACACGACATCGTCAATTGCCCTGCCTTTCCTGTCAACAAATTTGATGAACGCAGTCGTTCCGGCCTTCGGCTTTGTCCACTTCATAGCCCAGTTGTACTCCTCGATGAATGTTTCAAGGACACCGAGATTGTGCCGAGACAGGCGAAGATTGCGCTGCAACAGGTTTTCCACGCACGGACTGGACAATGCATGAGCTGCCACGCTATCATCGATTTGGCCAACCGAGATCAGAGTATAATCACGAGCAGAGGCACAAGCTTCGATAATCTCAAAATTCGGCGAAGCAATCCACCCCAATCGGATACCAGCCAAGCTGAAAGCTTTAGACATGGAACCCGTTGCAATGACATTCTCGTACCCAAATTCAAGAATCGATGGAGGAATCTCCTCATCTGAGTCAAGGGAATGGAACAGAGGTCGATAAACCTCATCAGAATGAATCAGGATATCATGCTCACGCGCGATATCAACAATCCCCTGCAATTCCTCGCGGCGAAGAATCGCGCCTGTGGGATTCTGGGGGTTGCTACAGACTCCGATCAGTACACATCCAATAAACAAACAATTGAACCACGATCCACACATACTTCAAAATAATCATCTTCGTATTCGGCCTAATCAAAGACTTCAACTTCTCCAAATCCATCCCCCACCCATTCGCCTCATCCGACCGCCACAGACTAACATCCGCCCCAAAAGACTCAGGGACAGAGTATAATTGCTGATAGGTCGGATACTGACAAATAACATGATCCTCCGGCCCGACATGAGTATAAAGCGCCAAGAAATTAGCCTGGATGGCACCGTTTGTGACGAGGACTCGATCAGCAGAGACAGGGCTGGCCTCGGTAGATCCAGATTGCGAATATAAGTTCGCTATGTTGGTTCTCAGCGTCTCGGATCCCCGTATCGCGCCATAGACTTGCTTCTGCGTGTAGTCTACCAGGTCCTTTTTCGGGGACAGAGATAGTAGGTCATTGAGCGAGATGGATGCGCAGCATGTTTCGGCAAGGTTGTGCTTCGCACTGGTTTCGTAGAGGTCCATCCACTTCTAGATGTTAGTTTCTGTGTAACTAGGTAGGTGATTGGTTTGGGGCTTGAGGGTGACTTACTTGCTCCACGGCGAACGCGTTGATTCGGACCATTTTGGGATGGGCCTGATATTGTGAAGAGGGGGTTTCGGAATATGAAAGAGGATGAAGAATTTTGACACTCAGATAACGGATTTTAAGGATTTATATACAATATACATCGTACCTTGTATTGTTGGAGTTGGAGACTAGATGTGGATGATATGATTGGCTGGATCGCATATGTGGCCCAATTAGGCAATATTGGGGTCCTGGTCCACCAGACCGCGAAGTTGGTGCACATTGGTAGGCATCTCTGGTGATATACAGAAAATTGGTCTACTCTTTTCTCTTTCAAGTGGAATATAATGTCGTGTAAAGATTGGACAGATCGCCTACATTGCCTAATTGGATCCTTGGCGGTTTAATGACAGCTTTGTTTCTGGCCCGCCACCGAGGCTCATTTGCATCTTATTATAATATCATACACTCGGCTTATGAGATATCTGCACATTAACCTGATTCATGGCTGTTCTCTTCCTCCTCCAAGATCGTCGAGTATGGCAGGAACTTGTGGTCCTCCGTCTGCGATTCTAGATAGTCGAAGGATGGATGCTGGGGTTCAGAATATAGAAGCTCCCGTTTCACACGAGGCCGCTGTGGCTCTTCTGACTCTTCAATTTGTAGGAACTCTGAGATGGTGCTGCCGGTGAAATGTAGGATCATTCCTATAGTGGCCCCGACAAGCACTGCCCCGGTCATGAAATAGATGAATGCCTATTAGAGCTTAGTAAATGCCACCACCAAAGAGCTACAATATGGAGGCGTGGGATAACATAGATGACTGTCTCACAACTTACCTCTAGCTTAATGAGAATACGCAATGGAAGCAGTGTCAGGTACAAGACGACATGTCCAATGTAGATCACTGGCGATGCAAGGAAGAGAAGTGTTGACAATAAGTAGGACAGTAATTGAGTTGTCAAGCCAAGAATAAGCAATAGAGGATATTTTAGAATCGATACCCAGCCCATGATTATTATGAAGGTATGTAGGTATGTAGTAAATCAATCTATGCATCTCGACTACCTAGGTATGTTATGGTATCCAACACGCGCCGCGGGCCAACTGCCAAGCCCTAAGCCCTATGCTACCGGATTGGGCTTCCGGCGTCATCGGCGTGTCTCCTGTAGACAATGTGAGTACATCAGTCGACTTTGATTACTGCCCACCGCCCCTCCTTACCTTGAGCTGGTATCGGAAGTGTCCTTCTCCAGTCTGCCATTGTGACTTAGTTCAACCCTCCTCTTTTCCCAACTCCCAGCAAAAAAAGTTCGGCCCAAATTCATCACACCTTTCCCCGCCTTCGATGGGCAACAACCCTTCCAAAGGCCCGGTGGGCGACGCGCATCACGCTCATGCCCACCACAGCTCTACAAGCGATCGAAAAGTCGCCCGTCGATCCTCCGTTAACACAATTGCAATCCCTAAAGCCACCGCGGCCGATCCTTCGGCCACAAAGGAGACAGCCGCTGGGCACTCGGCAGGATACCAAGGATCCGTGCAAGAGCGCCTACAATCCCGAAATGTCCCCGAATCTTCACCAAAGAACATAGAGAAGGCTCCGCCACAAGATGCACCTCGAGTCGAGCCCTCCCCGATCAAGGATATCCCATCCCGCGACCACTCCAACCCGGTCCAGGTCCCGGTCTCGCGCCATGTCCCGGGGCGCGATCCTGTGGCACCATCGGCCCCGCCCCTCAACTCGTACTATAGCGCATCGGCACATCTACAACATCCCCCGCGCTTGCCATTGCCAATTGGTGATGCCAACACCACTCCTGGATCGCCCGTCGCCGGCCCTGAGGACTCGCATATCCAGTCGCTCCCCGCGGATCGCCTCTTGGATGAACAAATGGATCCGAGTACTCTAGTTCCAGGTCATACGACTATTGAAGAGGAGGAGTTGCTTGATGAGCTTCAGCCATACACCATCAGCGGCGCGGGGAAGGCCGTCCCGGTCGTTATCGAATGGACAGCGCCTGCTCAGAAGGTCTATGTTACTGGTACTTTTGTTAACTGGGAGAAGAAGTTCCGTCTACACAGAAGGTTGGTCATGGTATGGTTGGGTTTCCCGAGACTTGACTAACCCTCGATAGTGAAAAAAAATCCGTCCGTTATGTCCGCTACTTTGAACCTCAGACCAGGCACACACCACTTGAAATTCATTGTCGATGGGACAATGCGCGCTGCGGATAGCCTTCCCACTGCCGTCGACTTCACTAATCACCTGGTCAACTACATTGAAATCAGTGCAGATGATGCTCATGACAAGGACTCCACCGTTCAGCCGGGAGCTCCCCTTCCACACACCATCCCGGATTCCTCTAAACAGGATCCAGCGGATACCGAGGACCACCCTCTAGAAAAGGAAGAAGTTGACGAAGAGGTGCCACCCGGTGATTTCGGTGATGCCATCCCTCAATTCCTCGCCGATCTGGATAAGGAAGAAGATAGTCCGGCCTATGTCCAGGCTGCCAATGTCATTGGAGATACGGCTACCCCTCCCAGTCTACCTCTCTTCTTGGGTAAGTCAATTCTCAATGGCACGACTCCCATGAAAGACGATAGTAGTGTTCTGAACTACCCGAACCACACTGTCCTGAATCACCTCGCCACGAGCAGTATCAAGAATGGTGTCCTGGCTACAAGCGTGACAACCAGGTATAAAAGAAAAGTAAGTCACTGCTTCATACACTTTTCGTGGATTTACTAATCTAGTTCTACAGTATGTCACGACTATTTTGTACAAACCGACTGGCGATATTACAGAATGAGCTATGTGCAAACATGTAGGCCGTTTTTAATTGCATGCATACACTTCTTTTTAACCAAATACTGCCTCGGGCATGTTTGGGTTTATCCGATTTGCAGAGATAAAAGATTTACAAGCAATTTCCCGCCTTGTTCGACCCATTGGCCCTTGCCAGTCTGCTTCCTATCTGACCAGGTGTTCTCGGGTTCCTCGTCCATAACGGCGACTAAATCCTCCTACTAGGTCGCCCAGTCATTGACCACAGCCAACACACATGAATGTGAGTTGAACAAGGCATCTCAGTGAGATCACCATATATTGCATATTTTCTCTGGCGTTACTTTCGTGTTGGGTGCTGGGAAAGGATTTGGGAGTTGATCATAAGCAAATCATACAGCTGTACAGGCGCTTGGATTTATGCAAGATTACAAATGTCTGGGAAGCCCACTTGAGATAAGTGGTGAATGTTGAATAACTTATTCCGATTTTATCTAACCGAATTCAAAAGGATATCAGACCTGACTTTGCTTAATTCATAACACATGATAGATATATTTTTGGGTTCAGACACGACATCGAGATATCAATCCCGCCACTTCACAAACACTTCATCCGTACGGAACCGCTGTGTACAAGAACTCTCACTCAAAGGGGTTCGGAATCCAGTCCCATATGCCAGCATACCAGCCTGTGCAATCATAATGCCGTTATCGATGCAGAACCGCTCATCCGTCGCATAGACACTTCCACCGCGATCCCGTGCCATAATACCCATCATCTCCTGCAAACGCTCATTCGAGCCAACACCGCCAACAATAAGAACCTGCTTCGATCCAACATGGGCCATTGCGCGCTCGGTGATCTCGACAAGCATTGAGAAGACAGTTTCCTGGAGGGAGAAGCATAGATCTGCGCGTGTAGGCTTGCTCTCCAGTGAATCATCCGCAACAGTTGTAGAATCAACGGGTTTCTGCTCATCTTCTCGTGCCTTTTCCTCCCCGCCTAGCCCCCACTGCCTAGCCAGGCCATCAATCGCAGCCAGGATCCCGGAGAATGAACAGTCCATGCCCTTCACAACGTAGGGGAGATCGACTAGCTGCTTTCCTTGCTTCGCTAGTTGTTCAATGTTATATCCTGGCGCCGGGTCGTTGGAAATGTGTAGTGTACGCGCGAACCGATCTAGACAGTTTCCTACTGCCATATCAAGGGTCTCGCCGAAGATGCGATAGCGTTGCGAGCTGTATGCGATGACTTGTGTGTTACCGCCGGACACGTATAGGACGACTGGGTTTGTTGCGCCGGTGATGAGGCGGCCCATTTCGATGTCTAGAGATTCACATTGTTAGTGGTTTGTTCGATTCATAACCCCAAATAGGAAGTGCTGTCTATAGCTGATATGCATGAATACATACGTCCAACACAGTGATTCACTCCTACCAACTCTTTGCCCCAAAGCAAACTCAACATCCGCGCGGCGATCACCACACTCTGTAGCGGGGCACCCATTCCGGGTCCCTTAGTGAAGCAAATACAGTCCACATCGTCGACGGAGACCTTGGCTTCTTTGAGAGCCTGTTTGACCAGCTTCACAACCCATGATCGGTGATGGTGCGCTGTATCCTTAGGCAAGAAACCCTCGCCTGGCGGGGAGACATAGGTGTGTCTGATATTGGCGAGGACCTGCGGGGCGCTGCCATCCTTGGGATGCAGCATGATGCCAATACCCAATTTGTTGGCAGAGCCTTCCATACCAATTGCAATCATGGTGGGCGGTATTTCAAGGTATGAATGAGAGAGTGTGTTGAATGAAAGGTAATAAAATCATACGCCATGTATGAAACCCCGAGAGACCTCTGATATGATTTTCGTTATCGTTATCGGAGCTAAAAGCGGCACCCGTCGGTTGGCCCGAACTAAACCCGGGCTACTCTGCTCGACTTTAGTTTGCATACTCTCCCGACTCTCTTCTTCTTTCCCCTCTTCTCCATTATTTTCTTCTTCCCTACTGGTATCCACTTCATTTGTGGCTTCGTTCTACACCCTCCCCCTATTCCTCTTTTCCCTCCCAAGGGAAATCTCCCCCGTCATGTCTTCGACAGCCCACTTCCCCGACGCCGAGGGCTTTCAACAACAGTCTGACAACTTCATGTCATGGCTGCAAGCCTGCCCGGATGTGCAGCTCAACCCCAAGCTCAGACTCGCAGATCTTCGGGCAACTGGAGCTGGACGTGGTGTCGGTAAGTGTTCAAAAAATATATTCCCCAACCACACAAAAGCGTCTTCGGAGTCCTCCCAAAAGTGAAGGTTTCATAAATGTTATAATCAGTCTCTAATGTATTCCCTGGGCTATAGTGGCGCAAAGCAACATCCCGGAAGGTGAAGAACTATTCTCGATTCCCCGCGCCATGGTTCTCACTGTGCAGAACTCGGAGCTGAGGACCCTGCTCGGGGAGAATCTAGAGGAGCAGATGGGTCCGTGGCTTTCCCTGATGCTGGTCATGGTGTATGAATACCTACAAGGAGAAAAGTCGAGATGGGCTCCGTATTTTAGAGTTTTGCCTTCTCGCTTTGACACCCTGATGTTCTGGTCGCCGGCTGAGCTCCAGGAGCTGCAGGCTAGCACTATTGTTGAGAAGATTAGTCGGTCAAACGCCGAGGAGTCAATCAGGGATTCCATCACCCCTATTCTAGCAAAGAGGCCTGATCTCTTCCTGCCTCCTCCTGGTCTTGCCTCTTGGGAGGGCGAGGCCGGTGACGCTGCCCTCATTCAAGTGTGCCACGTCATGGGATCACTCATTATGGCCTATGCCTTTGATATCGAAAAGTCCGAGGACGATGACGATGATGGAGAGGCTAATGATGAGAGCTACATGACTGATGACGAAGAGGACGAGCAGCTGCCTAAGGGTATGGTCCCGCTCGCAGATCTGCTCAACGCTGATGCGGACCGAAACAACGTGAGTTTGGACATGATATTTTTTTTCTTCAACCCCAATTTTAACCCGCTTTCATCAGGCTCGTCTCTATCAGGAAGAAGGTGCCCTGGTCATGAAGGCAATCAAGCCAATTCAACAAGGCGAGGAAATCTTCAACGATTACGGAGAGATCCCGCGCGCAGATCTCCTCCGCCGATACGGCTATGTGACCGATAACTACGCTGTCTACGACGTACTTGAGCTATCATTGGAAACCATCTGCGAGGCCGCAGGACTTTCGAACGCAGATCCTGAGTCCCAGCCCCGACTTGAGTTCCTCTCAAGCCTCGACATTCTCGAGGACGGCTATGTAATCCCCAGACCCGTCAACGCCAACCCGTCTTTGGAAGACATCCTGCCAGCCGAGTTGGTAGTTCTTCTAGCTACGTTGGCTCTCTCCCCCGAGGAATTCAAGCAGCGTGTGTCTAAGGACAAGGCTCCCAGACCGGTCATGGACGCCAATGCGACCGCGATCTTGATCAGCGCGCTGCAAAAGCGACAGGCGCAATACGCTACGTCTCTCCCCTCGGATCTCCAGTTTAGGGCTTCGCTTTCTCCGTTGCCTGAAACTGGTGACGTGGATGAGGCGGCTCGTCGAGTACGGATGGCCTTGCAGGTTCGCATTGGCGAGAAGGAGGTTTTGCAGACGGTCTTGGGCATGCTGCAGCCCGCTACTTCCGGTTCATTGAAGCGTTCTGCCAATGGCGATGGTGGTGATTCGCGACAGTTCAAGACACAGAGGGTGTGAAGGCCTTTTGCTCTCGCTTCCATTTTTTACGGCCGATATCAGTCTGTTCTACTGAATCCCAACAGAACCAAAAGAAAAGTGCTTTTTGCGAGTGATTAAATTGTTTTAGATTTTCTGAATGTTTTTGAGCCTTTTTCTTTGCCCTCCCATTCGTCGCTTGCATCATAACTTCGGTTATCCATCATACAAAGGCTGCCCGACACCAGCCAACACCACCGAGATTCGGGAGAAAAAGATACTATGTACACTAATAAATGCAGACGCGCTCAGCCACGAGTGGCTAGCACCTGCGTCGAAACGAAATGTCGAGAAAGAGATGTGTGAGAAGAGGTGGGTGGAAACGCGAGAGGGAAAAGAAAAAGAAGTCGGCATCAAACCGGCCATCTTTCGCCGCCCGCGGAAATCATCGAAACATGAGAGAGTAATAAAACTACAAGTGTGGTAAAAGGAGAAAAAAAAGACAAAGAGACGAAGGGGATGAGGAAAACAGAGCCACGAAGAAAACGCCCGCCAAATGCTGTGAAAGAGGGAAAAGGGGAAAAAATTTGTTCAGGTCTCTGACACCGCAACGGCAGTTGGTCCGAGATTCGATCCCATGGAGCCTCCTGCGTGCTGACCATTTTGGTCTAGCAGTCGTCGCTGAGCCTGTGCTTGGGCTGCCTGTGCTTGCGCCTGCGCATGAGCCTGGGCAGCCACTGCAGCCTGTTCGCGCGCCTTGGCCATGGTGATAGCCCGGTGCTGCATGATTTGGATGCTGTACGCATCGGTATCATATTCGTGCTCCTCGTCGGAATCTTCGTGGTCGAACTTGAATCGGTCGGCCTTGATTGGATCCATCTCGACTTTACGGGCTCCCATGTTTCGACGATCGATCATCAACCGGCCACCACGTCCAACTCGTCGTCGGAAAGATGGCATTCGGTGTGGTTCATCTTGCAGATCCATGGCGTGCGATGCAAGTTTATCTCTGGAGAAAAGCGGGCTAGTGACGTCTAAGGAAGTATCCATCTCGCCAGATGATTCTGATGATGGAGGAGTGGGCAACTGTGCTGTGAATGCAGGCCGGAAGGTAACCGCATCGAATATCCTTTCTGGAGAAGGAGAAAGTGGTGCACGGGTGTGATCCACGTATCCCTCGTTCCACTTGATGTGTTTGGTGATGTTCTGCTTGATATCGCGCAGGATCTCGTTCTCTTTCTCGGCCTGGACATCCTCCAGCAATTGCAAATCCTCTCCGCCTTGCCCAGCCTTGAGGGGCATGCGCAGTTGAGGAGCATTGGGGCGTTGAGGTGGCATATC